TCTCACAGACGTACCGTCGCCTCTCTCTTTTTTACAAATACTTTCATGGCAATAGCTCCGAGGCGCTGCATTCGCTGGTTCCCAGACTTCATGAATTCAAGCGCCCTACGAGGCTGGCATCCCGCTATCACCCCTTCACTGTCGAAACTCCTAAATGTAACCGTCTCTTCTACTTCATGTCTCGCACCTCTCGCCTGTGTAACTCCCTTCCCTATTCCAGTTTCCCTGATAGCTATAATCTCCAGCTATTCAAGTGTAATGTCAATCGACATCTCCAGTTGCCTTGATCTATCCACTATTCTTCTCCTCAACTTTTCCTCCTATCTGATCTTGCTCCAACTTTTCTGTAACCCCTTGCGTCCTAGTGGCTTCTCGCCTTGCTTGAGGTGAAACGCTTAAAAAAAAAGTTTACTCCAATAACTTGTATCGATTTTAAATGTTAACTTTAAGCGTCTAATGATTTACTTTTATTTTTATTTTACATTTAACAACTTAGGTCTTTGACAATTTCAACCATGGAAAGATTAACAATCAAACAACGTGTTAAAGTTATCGAAGCCTATTACGAAAATGGACGTTCAAACAGAATTTGAATAAGAACTGCACAGGTCGCATCATCTCTCGAAACAGCGAAGTCAATTAGCCACCACGATCGTGAGACTTGAGGCCTTTATATTTCTTCCTTTGGGGTCATCTCAAAAGTAAGGTCTATGCCAACAACAATTCAACAGCTGAAGGATGAGATAATAAGGCATAATGGTGAGATCGAGGAGCAACTATACAGAGATGACCTGTAGATACATAGGCGGAGATGTTAAAATGAAGGCACCATAAATGAAAAAATTAGTCTAAAATAATCGATATACGAGAGCATGTTTAAAATCAATTTATTTCCATTATTCGGAATATTGTCCTCATATTTGCCGCCATATTTATCACAACGTTTCGGCCGTTGTACGCTCCTTACTTCTTCAGGTGGTTGGAATTTCGAACTGAACCCTTTATTTCGATCACTGGGGTAGACTGTTCTAGTTCCACGTGCCATGTTTAATGGATGTCAGTTATTAGTTATCTCCTGTTAATTTCGCTCTGAAAGTTATCCACTGCCTTGACTAGGTATTGATCTCGCACTCTTTGGATCCTGTCACTGAATCTCGCTAACACCTTTTTTGTTGTTATTATTGCTTTTCTCTGGCACTCCTTATTACTGGTTGACATATTGTATTCATTTCTATGCTTGGTCGGCTCAGGAGATTTTTGTGGCCTAGAATATGTGCTGATTCCTTAAGTTTACGAATTTTTTTAATGGTGTTCCTTGTCTATGATCTCAACCTGATTCCACAGATGATGGTGATCTCCCTTTTCTGTCCATATGGGGTCAGCCACGCTTGATTTTTCCACTTCGTGTTACAGCTTTCTGGTGTTCTTGAAGCTTTACTTTAAGGGGGAGGGCTATTTCCCCTTTATATTCCTTTCCGCAGCTGCATGGGATAGCGTACACACAGTCTTTAGTTGTATTCTCCTCTATGGGGGTCTTACTCGAGAGAGGTATCTATGAAGTTTCGTTCAGCTTTTGAAGGTTGTCTTGATGTTATATGGACCGCAGATCGTTTGTATATTATCTGATGAATTTATTTGTTTTTAATCACAACAGATGAAATAATAGAATCATGCAAAGTGTACTGAGCAGGCAATTATGATTCTAAATCTTGTGCCCAAAATAATCTACGACATTCGTAATCGCAGTATTCAACATTTATTAATCATGCATAACAGACTGCCAGAAAGTTCTCGGCTGCATTCGGGCAAGTTATTTTTTTGTACTTCATTATCATTAGAAGAACTGCTAGAGTCTTACTGCTTCCTCGATGGGTCGAAACAAATGAAATTGCAAGGATAACAGCTTAGGATTCAAGAATCCTCTGGGTACTAATGATACTCTGTTCCTTTAACTTGAAAAATCTCTACATTAGCCAAGAGACTGTAATAAACTCCAGACAGCATAAAGTCTTCCCCGGTGTTTTAAAATAATTATTCTTTTATTAGCTTACATAAAACATCAACTTAAAGTCGAAGAAGTTGATGTTTTATGAAAGCTAATAGAAGAATAGTTATTTTAAAACACCGGGGAAGACTTTATGCTGTCTGGAGCTTATTCGCAGCAGAGGATCTGCCACTCCAGAGCCTGTCACTAAGCTCTATTCCTTTGTTTTCTCTATGACTGCTATTAACCAATACGAAATTAGGCATTCTTTATAAAAATGAGGATCTGCAATGTTATTGAACATGAGATGATATTTCGGCTTCTATCACTTCCCCACTGCTGCAACGTAGGGCATTACCTGACCTGTTAACATGGTGGGGTTGGTCGTTCAAAATTCGGTTTGTCCAAGACACTGAGTGCTTCTTTGAATTTTCTAACCATATTTCTTACTGTGAGAAAGGCATGTGTGTGTCATTCTGGGATGAGGTGCATTGTATGCATCTGCTATCTGTCGAGATAACTATTCCTCATGTCCACTGCATAGTTCCAATACGAGTCAAAGTCATATTCAATTTGTGGAAGAAGGAAATGAACAAGAATATTCGAGAATTCTTCCTAGCATTTAAACTATGGTCACCCTGTCTCAGAAAAGGTGTTTTACCAGAAGATATTCAAATGATAGACCAGTAGTTCTCAAACTATTTGAAGTTGGGGTGAACTTGAAATCCTACCAATAATTGTAGGCGGACTATAAAAACATTTCGGGAAAATATGTTTTAATGAAGTCAAATATTGTAGAAAGTAAATAATGCAATAAAAAAAATATAAAATGAAAGATACTTTAAGTTTACTCATTTTTGTGTTTATTAAAAACATGAGCCTGATGAGTCTTAGCGATTTCTTCAATGTTTGGGCGTATATTTGATAGGCAAACTCTCATTTCATCCTCAATACATTGAAGAGTTCCTGTCTTTTTTGCAATTAATTGTGATGAGAGCAGAAAAGCTTAATAAACATAAATATGAATGCAATATATTTATTTATTTCTTATATCTGGACGCATATTTCTTTGGAATGCCAGTGCGAACCTAGACTGCTTCCAGGGCGCCCCAGTGCACCCTTTCGCAATATTTCGGAACCATTGTGGAAAGACTAAAGAGTATAGTCTATATATCTGGGATAAATATTGTAATGTTACCATAGTGGTTCAGAAATTCAAAGAAACAAACAGTGTATTGAAAAAAAATCGAATTTTGGACGATATGCTTCACCATGGTAAGAGACAAATTAATCCCAAGAATGTTAAAAATATTAAAGTTACCCGGCCAATTCAAGAGACGCCATGAATTTGAAAATGCCAAAATTTATTTGTATAATTCATTGTGCCAAAACCGGAATGGTTCTTTTGTGAAAGAATACATAATGTAACTGGAAGTTGGAACAGTGTAGCAAAATACATTCTTTGGTAACGGAATAATGATACGAATTTATATGGGTAACAATTTGAGCAAATGAAACCAGTTTTGGTTTTTTAAGATCAGAATGAAATGTGTGCCGTGAAGAAGATATTCAAATATAAAAAAAAGAATATATATTCATGCTCGGACCTTCCTGTTTCTTTCTTCTCATTAGACTACCATTTTATCGATTACGGCCATCCATAATCTAAATATCCACTTGCTTTAAACAAAAAATAAGTCATAGCCAGTCATCTGTATTCTTGCGGTGAAAACACCAATGCATTTAACTTCTACCGAAATTTATGGATGGTCAAATTAGACGTTTGTTCCAACGACAAGGCGCTGAACGTATTGTTTAACTTTTTTTTCTATTTGCGCAATCAATTTCCTTGCTTTAGGTACAGAAGGAGCGTTTTTTTTCTTTTCTTTCCTCAGTCTTATGCAAATGAACTTTTTAATAATATATCCACCTTTTAGCGTCTAAAATCGAGGTCACTGGAAACTGTATAATCTAGTGTAATTACACAGTCAACGAATCACTTCTCCAAAGCCATTATCTATATTTTGTAAGATAGAGAGAGAGATAGATAGATAGGAACAGACTGGGATAGAGAGGAACAGACTGAGATAGATAGATAGATAGATAGATAGATAGATAGATAGATAGATAGATAGATATGAATAGGTCGAGATAGATAGATAGATAGATAGATAGATAGATAGATAGATAGATAGATAGATAGATAGATAGATGTGAATAAAATTAGACAGATATGAACAGACTAAGAAACATTCTAGTTATATATATAGATAGATGTGAACAGTCAGATAGATAGATACGAATAGACTATGATACATTCCAGGTATATATATATATATATATATATATATATATATATATATATAGATAGAGAGAGAGAGAGAGATAGATAGTTAGATAGATAGATAATTAGCCGACTGATAGATAGATAGATAGATAGATAGATAGATAGATAGATAGATAGATAGATATGAATAGACTATGATACATTCCAGGTATATATATATATATATATATATATATATATATATATATATATAGATAGATAGATAGATAGATAGATAGATAGATAGATAGATGTGAACAGTCTGAGATAGATAGATAGATAGATAGATAGATAGATAGATAGATAGATAGATAGATAGATAATGCTAACCATCTGTGTACATCAAAGCATATATATACAACTGTATTTACACCACACAGACTCCTATATATACGTATATATGAATAAAGAGAAAAGATCAAAAAACTATTCATTTCTTAACCTGGTCGACTTGATCCCGGCAAATGTAAGGATGTCATTTAGCAACATATATTTATGTCGATTTTCGTTTTGTTTTTATTCATATATTCTTTTCACAGATATATTTTGACTTATTTTTGAATACTCTCACATACACGCGCATACACACACATACATGTATATAATAAAAGATATATATAGTTCTATACATATACATATAGTTTTAAGGCAGGCTATATTTATGGGTAAAAATAATCAATATTAGAAATAATGCGTATGTTATTATAGATGTGAACACTGAGATCAACACCAACGCTGTCTTCAGGCTTGAAGTTTACATAGCATAAAACAGATTGTCACGGCTTGAGCAGTGTCCACTTTTATCTATCTATCTATCTATCTATCTATCTATCTATCTATCTATCTATCTATCCCAGTCTGTTCCTATCTATCTATCTATCTATCTATCTATCTATCTATCTATCTATCCTATCTATCTATCCCAGTCTTTTTCCTATCTATCTATCTATCTATCTATCTATCTATCTATCTATCTACCCCAGTCTTTTCCTATCTATCTATCTATCTATCTATCTATCTATCTATCTATCTAACTATCTATCTATCTATCTATCTACCCCAGTCTGTTCCTATCTATCTATCTATCTATCTATCTATCTATCTATCTATCTCAAACTCTTCATATCTCCCCCACCTCTCTCACTTACTATCTATCTGTACATATCTGTCATCCTATCTTAGCCTATTCATATCTATCTATCTATCTATCTATCTATCTATCTATCTATCTATCTATCTATCTATCTATCTATCTCAGTCTTTTCATCGTCTATCTATCTATGAATTTTTATTTCTCTGCCTCGCTTTTTTCTTTGCTCATATCTATATATGCATTTTCATTCTTTGTACCTCTCTCTCTCTCTCTCTCTCTCTCTCTCTCTGTATATATATATATATATATATATATATATATATATATATATATATATATATATATTTCTTTTCCCATTTTTCTTTTTCCCTTTTTCTGCTTTTCCTTTTCCCATATCATTTTCGTTGAGTTGACCGATTAAATAGGTCAATGTCTGATCCTTACCCCCTCTTTTCTCAATATTAATTATTATAATAAAAAGAAATATAAAAATAAATGTTACAACTCTCCCTTCCCTCTCTAAACTCGACCATGCCTCTCACACCATCCCTTGCTACCTTCTATGTCAACTTATATAAGCTTAATACTGCCCGTCAAAAGCGTAAATTTTAATTTCATTTTTCGTTTCACCTTTTGAAAGTGAAGTCTGAAGATCCAGAGAAAAATAAAATTCTCTGATGAAATAAATTATTACAATGGAGCTTTAAAAGTGGTCTGTTTTTCTTTAAATTAAATTATTCGCTCTAATTTAACATTGAACTCTCAGGATTTCATCCTCCTTGGGATTATTCATACGGATTACCAAGATTTCTGTTACTTATATATATATATATATATATATATATATATATATATATATATATATATATATATATATATATATATAAATATATATATATATATATATATATATTTAAAAATTATAACATAAACATGTTATAAAATCGCTACAAATATAGCCATTTTCTTTCAACACCTTCGGTGTCTTATCAAGTGATGACATGACAAAAATTATTTAAAAAATGTGTCATATTTATTTCTTTATAAAATGGTAAATAATAAATATTGCATTATAAGTTGTTGTTTTTTTTTACATCTTTTTATAATCTTGTACGATAACAATTTTTATGACTTGGAAATAAATTTGGGAATAATTGAAATTAAATCCAGCGAAAGTTACCCATAAATTAAAATTTAATTTTTGTACAGAAAGTAAGGACCTGCGTATATCAAATTGACTTTAGCGATAGAAAAATTATCGTTAAAATATTAATGAAATACTTAAATCCAGAGATCAATTTTGGGTTATTCTATAGTTTATTGTTGCCTATCGCATCTACTCCTCGCTGGCTATTGTGATTAAGGCCCATTCAAGTGCTTTACGCATTCCGTAAATGTACATCACTAAACAGTGAAACCTTTTATTCTACTGCATTCATATTGATTTCCCATTCACCTGACACTACATTAGACAACCCCTGAACTAGATTCAAGCACGATTTTACAAGATTGCTTTAAATCATTTCATCCATAGGCTGGAAATAAACACCTAAAGTTTCTTTCAACCCCGCCAACTGTCCTTAATGTGGGCAAAGCAAACGAAAGAATTGCCCAATAGATACATTATTTTCAAAATTGATAATTACAATTGATCATCATTATGTGTTAATTTTAATTTTCTTATTCACAGATATTTTTATAAATTTTAAAAAAAAATTATTAAAAAATGTGTCATATTTATTTCTTTATAAAATAGTAAATAATAAATATTGCATTATAAGTTTTTTTTTTACATCTTTTTATAATCTTGTAAATATAAAATTATTCTTGTAAATTAAGAGACCTAATGTTCAATTTCTTCGTTGTGAATTCTCAAGAACAAAGACAATAAAATTACTTTCATATGTTTAGGTTTTATGTCAGTTCTAATAATCTCTTTTTAAAACAATCAACATTGCCAAGGGACTCAGAAACATATACATTAATAATAGTGGTGTCAAAGGAAAAACATTCTTTTAAAACATCTTTTTTTTCTGGAGGAAGAAGATAAAAGGACACAGGGCACAGTGTATAAAGACGTTAGTTAGAATCAGTGACATGACCCAAAGAATGTGAGTTCAATACCGGGTTAAGGCAGTGGAGAACTTGGAGAGGGGAATTAACAGGAGATAACTGACATTCATTGAACGTGGAACAAGAATAGTCTACAGTGATCGAAATGAAAGGGGTTCAGTTCGACTTTCCAACCAACTGAAGAAGGCTGGAGCGTACAACGGCCGAAACGTTTTATTAAATATGGCGACAAAGATGAGGACAATAGTCCGAATAATGTAAATAGTGTACATAATACCTCATCTCAGAAATAGAGACAGATACTGAAAGGCCGAAACGTTGTAATAAATATGGCGACAAAGATGAGGACAATAGTCCGAACAATGTAAATAGAGTTATGTTATTATTATTATTATTATTATTATTATTATTATTACACGTTTCGACCTTCATCAGGTACTAATCGCTTTGGCTGACCTTCCAAAATTTAGTCTGAATAATGTAAATAGTGTACATAATACCTCATCTCAGATATATTGACAGATAAGAAGATAAAACATTTGCAAATCCACAAAGACGTAAGAATAAACGGAACTAGTACGACAATAAAAGACTATGATTCAAGGAGACAGAAGATAGTTGGTTATGTGTTTGGATACCACAAGGTTGAAAAGAAAACAAGTAACCGGCAGAGAGTTCCAAAAGGCGGGAAATGAAAAGGGAAGAAATTAAAAGCATATAACTTACGATCACATCTGGCAATTTCAGCAGTAAACTGAGTAAAACTTTCTTCCAGAGAGACAACAATAATAATTTTATTTCCTAAATAATTTGTCCATGATACTCTTAGCCTTCTCATCGGAAATCTCTTCGTTTTTCATACAATAGCCAGTTTATTGTTAAAAGCCCAGAGATCTGTGTTTCTCCATAAATGTGTATATATGAAAGAAATCTAAAGGACGTGTACGTGTGCGCACGCATGCGTGTGTCAATAGATTGCTAAACTTGAAACAGTTGTATGCATTTGAATCCCTGTATCAATTTGTCTTGACCTCGAACAAATACAACGTGAATAATCAATGAACACAGTGAATGTGAGTCTTGCAATCACTGCCTCTTGGTTTCAAACTGGGATTCTACAAGTGCCCTCATTAGAAATCTAGGAGGCATACCCGGTCGTAGCAATAATTACTCTCTTCTACTATAAGTGCTTGTCAAAATACAATGTCAGCAACATTTGCAATACTAAGCCAACGAAACAAATTTGTTTGATTGAATATATATATATATATATATATATATATATATATATATATATATATATATATATATAAGAGTCGGAAGAGTGATCAGCAAAGAACGTTTGAAATTAGGAAATTATTATGAACAAATAGAAACCAAAGGAAGTTCCTTTCAGACAAGCTCATACAAATACTGTAATACATATTAGAGAAATATTATTTAAATAAGAATTTTAAAGATTTGTCTTTGTTGACATCAGGATGAGACCTTCAATTCCTAAAAAAAAAATGAGGAAATAATTCTAACTCCAGCTCATTTTTGCCTCTGTTTTAGTGTTGTTGATTTTGATGAAATGTTAAATAATCTGCACACAAAATTGTGTTACCTAAATATGTTTCGTTTTGTCCATTTCTTCTTGTTGAAGGAGTGCTAAAGAGAAGGGCATATTTCATTGAATTTTGTAGCAAATGTTGTAGCAAATGTTGGTATGTTTTATGAACAAGGAGGATGCACAGGTAATGTAATGGATAGTGGCTTGAAATGAGAAATTGGAGAACCAAGTTTGAATTCCAGTTGGGTTTGTTGCTTTCACTGATGTGCAAATACCTTTGGGAAAGGTATGAATCCAGCTCCTTCCCCATGATATGGATTAAGTAATAGGTCTTGTATCTAGAAAAATTTGTTCTTCTTCTAAAAAAAAATTAATATTTATTTGCAAATATAAAAACAATTATTATTCTTACAATCCAAAATATATTTCAGCTTCAAATAACTGACAAAGGGTTGGTAAGCTGTAAAAAAAAAGAAAATAATACAAATTAATAAATTATAAACACTGTCATTCACAGCACATGTCCAAATAAAAAATGAAATATCTGAAAAAAATTCACTATAGCAAAGAAAACGGCGACTTACCTCATCAAACCATTATTTTGTGAGACATACTCCCAAAGCGATACTTCCACGATCACAATAATTTTAAACACTTTAAAGTCTTGGGTCAAGCATTATCTATTTTGAATAACCCCAATCAGTAAGACTGTACTCTGTATATCTCTTGGGCCGTTTATGTAACTTTTAAATTCAAATGGAAATTCAGATTATTATTATACTTGCCTTTCTGGATGTAGCTGATTTATGTTTTACAGTTTATCAACAGTTCAAACCGAAATTTTGGATTTTAAGAATAATTCATTTTGATTCTAGTGATATTCAATTAACAATTTTTTTTCAGAATACAAATAGATGCGGACATGATAGAGTAATGGCTTGCGGCTAGGGTGGAAGAATCGGGGTGCCTAGTTCGAATTCCAGTTGTGTTCATTGCATTCACTTACGTCCTAATACTGTTGGGTATATATGAATCTAATTCTTCCTCCATCTACGGGTAAATAGTAGGACAGGCTAGGTTCTATAGCCTTGGTTGGCAACTGGTCTACTAGAATGAAAACTGGATTCAAAACTGTATGTATCCCTGGCAAAGCACCTACTATGCAGCTAAGGAAAGGATCGTTTTTTTTAGTCTGTCTATATTTCTGAGATGAGGTATTATGTACAGTATTTACATTAGTCGGACTATTGTCCTCATCTTTGTCGCCATATTTGTCACAATGTTTCGGCCGGTGTACGGTCCGGCCTTCATCAGGTGGTTGGAATTTCGAATTGAACCCTTTATTTCGCTCACCGGGGTAGACTGTTCTAGTTCCACGTGCCATGCTTGATGGATGTTAGTTATCTCCTGCTAAGTTTCGCTCTGAAAGTTCTCCACTGCCTTAACCTGGTATTGAACTCAAACTCTTTGGGTCTGTCACTGGATCTAACCAACGCCTTTATCCACTGTGCCATGTGTCCTTGAGGATCGTTTTTTTGTTTGCTTTTTTTTAGTTCTTATACTGTTTAAAACTTACTTGTTTATCACACATTCTGTCCAGTATTTTCTAGGCCTTCATCGGTAGAAGGACATCCCATCGCATCAAATGTTACCTGTTAGGAGATTGTCCACTGCCATATAGAAGATTAGATATTATATAGTTGGTTAGGAATCCCATATGAAAGAAACACCTAAGACGAAGCCATTGATCTCCCGTCCATGTGCTTTTGCGTGGCCCTTGTTCGCTGAAGCTTCTTTTCAGCACTATCCATCGTCCACAAGATGAGAGAACTGTAATGATCCTCAAAATATCTGAGAAGATTGATAATATCTTCCCTGTGCATTCCTCAGGCATATTTGTGGTGAATTTAATATTCATCACAAAGCAATAGGAATAAGATCAAAGAAATTTCTATTCAGAAGTCTAACTGGCAAGAGTCATTCAACTTTAGCTATATATCGATATTTGCTACTTCTACTTTCTTCTATATGGAAGTTGCAATAAAACGTAAGACAAATGAATGAAAAAAATACTAGTCAAAAATTATTATTGACAATATTTCATCTAAGAATGCGAAGCGGTAAGACTCATTCAAATTTAGCCAACTCGCTACAGTTATGTGCAAAAGAAAGTGGGCATCTAAGATAATATTTTTTTCACACAAACAATAAATCCTAATTTTAACTATATATTCTGTTGAGGGGTACACCCCTTTTTACACAAATGGACTGAAATCGTGAAAAATAAATAACTTGTTAATAAGCGTGAAGTTTTTAGTTTCTCCTACGTATGAGTATTTAATAATTCTCTTATTTTCTGTAGTCCCTTCCCAGTCTTCTG